ATATAATAATATTTTATATATAACATTTTTTTATGTATAATAGTAAATATTTTTATAATTCTTATTTTTTGTATGTAAAATAAAAAAAAAATTATATGTATATTTTTTATTTTTTATATGTATAATAGTAAATGATTTTTATAATTCTTAATTTTTGAATGTAAAATAAAAAATATTTTTATATGTATAATTTTTATTTTTTAGAAAAACTTGGTTTGTAGTCGAGCTCGAACCTAACACAATTGCAGCGAGTCGAGCTCGAATAGCCAAATATTCGGCTCATCTCAGCTCGAATCCACCCCTACAACCAAACAACTGAAATCAGAATAACCGATTCCGATTCCAATTCCAAAGCCCTATTCCTACAAACCAAACGGGGCCTAAGTCTTTTGTAGTTTGCAATCAGAAACCGAATGCGCCATGGTCTTGGGCTTGTAACTTCCCTTTGATGTTCTAAAAAAAATTCATGCACGGGATGTTTCCATTTTTTGGTCTTAACACTATATTTCTCTTCGTGAATACAAGGGATGCTTTTTTGTGGTTCTAGTTAGGTATGCCAACAAAGTGGCATTCGATAATAGAAACTCCAAACTGAATGCTAAGAAGTTTCGAAATTTAATAATTCAGTAACACGAGATCTATTTAATTGCTGCTGAAGCATGAAGCAGAGTCATTGAGGTGGTTACTACACTCAGCACCTGTTTTAGTAGTCATCAAGTGGTCTCTAAGTGATATACTCATATGGTCCTCATGCTGCAGAGAGAGAAATATTATGTTGGAGAATAAGAATTGATTCAGACCACCTCACTTATACAACTTAAGATTTTAGGTTGAACGAGTCTTTGAGGTGGTTTCATAGCCTAATTGAGCAGATGCCCTAATGTTTGATAGCATAAGATATGGGTGGACGGTGGACCTATTCTTATACACACTTCAAACTCATTGACCATGTAGTTTGAAGATTGGATTTGTGGTTTTCACACGATTTGGAAACGTTGTATCAATTGGAATTGAATGGGACCTTCATCGACAAGGAGAACAGAAAGCTTTGGGCTTCAGTGATTCCACAGGGAAATTAAATTTGGCCCTACTGAGGCAGAAATTGCTTTCTATCTTTGGTAGAGCCCGAGTTGACAAGATGTTTGAGATTACCTTTGGTAGAGCCTAGACCTGTTCATGGGCCGGGTAGTCCGATGGCCCGGCCCACACCCCGGTCGGGTTTGGTCATGTAATTAGGCCCATGGGCCTAACACAGTAAGCCTGATTATGTTTCGGGCCAGGCTCGGGATTGGTCAAAAAAGCCTGGCCCGATCCGACTTAGCATTATATATTTTATAAAATATATAATATGTATTTTATATATTATATAAAATATATAAATAATATAATATTTATTAAAATATATATTTATAATTTAATATATATACATTTTTTATTCTTTTCTTTATAATTTCTCTCTCTCTCTCTATACTCAGCCGCTTCAGCAGTAGTAACAGTATGGGCTAAATATCGGGCTTCAAACTTTTTATGAGGGCCGGGCTTGAGCCCAAATTGTAAGCCCGATGGTCGGACTGGGCTCAGGTTCGGGCCTTAGAAAAATCTATTAATACAGAGTGAAAGCCCGACCCAGCCCATGAACAAGTCTTAGGGAGAGTTAACTGAAGCAGATGCAATATATCGATGCTACTACACGGAGATGGGGTCAGTAGGGTCAGTAAAGCCCTGCCGATTCTATTCTATACTAGATGGAATATGGTTCTGGTTTTTGCCTTTCTTGTATTCATTGCTACTCACACCCTAGAAAAGATGTTCTACAGCTAATAAAAGAAATTCTCTTCAGTGAAAAAAAATCAAACAGATAAAACTCATGACTGTGCTGGTTTTTGGCACATGTAACCGTATAATAATATGGCCAATCCTCCACATTGGACACATTAGCTGATGTGTGGCCTATTTTTACCGCAGTTTAAAGTCATAATGAATGAACCGGTTTCATCTGTTTTTATGAGCTACATTAGCTGTATTTGTCCACCAGTCTATTAGATTCCAATTCGGGTCATCCATTGAATCTAGAGTTAGTGGTCTCAATTGATCCCATACTTGAGGATTGCTGCCCGACACTTTGCTAGTAACTGATCCCTGTCCTCCTCTTCTCCACAAAAAGGGCAGTCAGTTTGTAAGATTATGCCTCGTTCTCAGAGCTAGTAACTGATCCCATACTTCAGGCATTCCCAAAACCAAGGAATCTTTCTTGTTTGTTTGATTAAACTTAACAATCTTGGGTCCATATTTTGGTTGTTTCTTAGGGAGTTATATTCTTATTTTACTGTTAGACATCCCGTTGAACTCCATCCCCACACTTTCTCATCCTCTTGATTCTGAGATGGAATATGGATAGCCATAATTTTATCCACCAGATCTTGGGGAATGATCTCTCTCAGTTTTCTTTGGTCCACATTTATTTGTTGTCGGGTTGATGAAGTCTTTTACCCTAAGGTCCACATTTTGTTCATTTTAACTTAGGTTTTGGATTGGGTGCATATCTACCCAATTATCTTGCCAAAATTTGCACGAGGCTCCATTTCCTATTTTCCACAAGGGGTGCAATTTAGGTGGGCCTATCTCGAGTCCGAACCGGCCTAATCCAAAATTTTACATGGGTTGGACTTGAATTTTCGGTTCTTAGGCTTGGTTTGGGCTCAAAAAGTTGGGTTTTTTATTTTTAGGGCCAGGTTCGGGCTTAGACCTTAGGTAACCCAAACCCAGTCCAATTATATATATTATACATATATATATATATATATGTATATGTAAATGTTGCATACATATTTATATATATATACATACATATTTGTATATATAACATTTGTATACATATTTTGCATACATATTTACATAAATATATAAATATATGTTTGCATAAAGACATTTATATATCTATAATTTTAGAGTGAGTTCATTGACTAACCCGAACCTGGCCCGGGCCCAAACCTAACCTGAATGCATCAAATTACAGGACGGACTGGACTCGGGTACTTTGATTGGTGATTTTTTAGTATCAAGTGTATCGATATTTTGAACCATGTTTTGAAATACCGAGGTAAGGCTGTTCTGAACCGCAAGATTGTGGGTTTAACTATTTCATGGGGTGGGTATGGGCCTTCTGTGAAGCCCAGCTCTGTTGGTCCATCATTGTTGTCTTTGATCATAAGATGAGGACTTGCCATGGACCCGGGAGGGGAAGGGGTTTCTTTGGGAAGTGGAGGAGGGCTGCTATGACACCTACAAATGCCTATTGGTTGAGGAATCATGGTTTAGCCACATGTTTCTGTCCTTGTCTATATCATTTTCTGTATGGGGTTGGTATTCTCATCAATTTTGTCTAATACCCATTATTGGTATTATAAATTTAGGTTAGCTTTTTAGTTTATTTTTTGATATATAGATTATTATTTAATTTAAGAGATTAAATCAAATTTTATTTATAAATAATAATGGATTTTTATTCTTTTCTATAAATGCGTAAATACATGTCTAAAAAAGAATATTTATATTTGAAAGTGAAGGTAATTACTTTTTTATGCTCTTAAAAAAACAATTGTCTAAAGAACCCTCATATCAATGAATTGAATTTGGACCTATTTGCACCCATACCCCAAATAATAAATTCTTTCTAATGTTTCCATCAATACCCCATACACACCTAAGGGGGAAAATGTGATGTGGCCATATCAAATTAAATAATCCTTGGTGTGCCCATATCAAATTAAATCACTTGTCCATATTAAATTAATTTGCCACATTGTCTAACCTCTCAAAGACAACAAGCTACAACGCGGAAGCCCAAATAATTCTTGCTTAGGCTCAGTTTGGAAAGAGTACAAATACAAATATATAGAATAGAAAACTTTACCTTTTATATGTATTTGCATTGTACATATTTATATTTATACTCTTTCCAAATGGAGCATTAGGACCGCATCCTGTTTTATCTTCCACTATGTGAATGGAATTGGGGTCTACTGCTCACACCTACCTCACAGCCCCATTCCATCATATATTCGGAATATCTCTCATGAATAATAAAACACAAATACAGGAGGCATTTGCAATATAAGGTTAAAACATATTGTAAGGTCGGTGTGAGAGCAGATCCAGACTCGTAGAGTGTAAATTGTAATACATAAAAATATGGAGCAGACCCGGACTCCTAGAATGTAAATTATAATACATAAAAATATGCTTAATACCTGTCTAATCCATGAAAAACAAAATACCAATGAAATTGCTTGTCCATTAAGCCAAATCCTAACAGCGAAGTCAGCTGACAAACGTCCCTCACGTAGAATGTGGTCTGTTATTTCTTATGATCTGGATTAAATCCAAAGCCCATCAACTTATCTGGGTTTGGGTCCGAATGTGCTACGTTTGGGCCAAGGCCCAGATTTATCCCTCAAAATGGGCTGCCTAATAGCATTGACATGGATCTTACACTCTTACATTACACATGACATGATATTTGTTCACACCACCACCGACCACCATTGATCAATAAGGCTGTGTTTGGTTGCAATGTACATAAATTTATATTGATGCAAAATCATGATAGTGCAAATGATTTGAGTGCAAATTCTAACCTATTTTGATTTTAAATTTTAGTTTATTTTGTTTGATTGCAGTATAAATAAAGTAAATTAAGACATGAAGATTAAATAAAGTAAAATCTAAAACTAAAAAAATAAAAATTTGCATTTTTTTACATTTTTACTCCTATGCATTTGTATTAATGCAAATAAATTTACACTGCAACTAAACACAGCCTAAGAGTCCCGCTGTTGATTGAATCAATGGTGGTGATGCATCCATTGTTTGCCTTGTAGGTTTTACGGGGAGTGATCTGGGCACGTCCATTTTATTCATGATGAACGGCTGTAAATAACCGCGAGCGCGAATACGAAAGGATAGCAAACTAGAGAATCATGATTTAAACTTGGGCACTCGTTACGTTATCATTCCATGCTCGAGGAGGAGAGAAGAAGGGAAAATGGCTGTAACAGCACTGGCTTCAGTGAGAGTGGTGAAATCTTCATGGGACACGCAGCGAAGCCTCACTCCCAATCACACCCAACCCTCGTTGAACAACAAAAACCCTAGCACAGTTCGTCTTACACCCTCTCAAAACAAGCAAATCACCCCAACAACGACCCCAACCACTCTGAAGAAGAACTTCAATGTTTCTGAGCTTCTTGACTTGAAAAACCGTGATTCTACTGAAGGCACTGAATTCTCAGATTCGTATTTGGGTTATGAGAGATGGTTACCAGATCCACCAGCGGTTAAAAAGCCTCGATCGATATACAACGCAGCGTCTTTGGCATATATTGGTGATTGCATTTATGAGGTAAAATTGGTATATTCTGTCTTATGTTTCGCACGTTGTGTTTGTAAGGATTATATCGGAATTAACTTGCATCGGAATATGCTTTTCAAATAGTTTAATTATACTTGGCCGATGATTCTGAGGTTGAATGTTATAGTATTTCCTGTAATGCTTCAGGATTGGTGATGAGAAGTCATGGAAAAGAACTAGTTCAAGTGGTAGGAAAAAGGAATAATTAAAAAAACAGAAATACTATTGCATAAGTTGAAAGTGTTTACCTACCGTTTATGCCACGAGAAATCGCACAATGTAAAAAAGATTAAATTGGGTCTAAATTAGCAACAATATAAGTACTTTTTATTATGATCTGCAGGGCTGAAGACATACCTTGTGGTTCAGGTTACGCAAACAAGTGTATTTTTCAATGTTGATATGAATCTAATTATTTAGTAAAGAAAGAAACTATTAGCACGTGGAAGAAAAAACATAAACTGGGGAAATTGTTCATTCTAATGGGTGTTCTCGACCTTGTGACACAGTAAAGCAGCCTACCATATCCCCAGCTTAGTCTATGTTGTCTGCCTTTTTTTTCTCTCCTTTAAAACTGGACTGGTAATTGATAATACCTTTATTTCCTTTTTACTTACCTATGTTCATCATCATCATCATCATCATCATCATCATCATCATCATCTAAGCCTTGTCCAACTATATGGGGTTGGCTACTTGAATCCTGTTTTACCATTCCATTCCGTTCTGTTGACTTACCTGCATTGGTTTCTCAAATTGTGCAGTTATATGCTCGCAGGCACTTCCTGTTTCCTCCCTTAAATATTGAGGAATACAATGATCGTGTGACAGCAGTAGTACGTTGTGAAGCACAGGCATGTATTTGTTCTTCTTCCGTGCAGATGCTTGAGTTAATGGGAAACCTTATGCATGAGTTAAGAGAAAATATCATGTGTTAATTCTTATGCCATGTGGATGCTTTGGGATGGATGTTTTAGTCCATTCTTCGGTTAGTTCTCCCTATTTTGAACTTAATAATGATTTGTGATTATAACTATTTTGTCCATGGAGTGATTATTATGCATCTGACCATGCTCTGAAGTTTGTTCTTATACTTTTCTTTTAATACAATTTGTTCCCATGAAAAATTCAAGTAACAGTTTCCTGAAGGTGAAAGCACGAGCTAGTTTTTATTATGTAAATGGGATGCTAATGGTTGCCACAATCATCTCTTATATACCCGATCACAACCTATAGTCCCCTTGTACAATAAATCTCTCAAGCCTAAAAGCATTTATAAGAAAAGAAGAAATTAGTCATTTGGTGGGGAAGCAGTGAAGGAAAAGATTATCACTAGTGACCAGATGATTAAGAAAAGATGACATCAGCTATCTGTTTTCCATATATATCCCCAGATGTGTATTATGTGCTTGAAAGGCAAGGAGATAACTCGACATTTTTTGCTCCATTTCTTGGAGATAAGAAAGCTTTGGTACTTTTTTCTTGTTTTGATTGTGTTGGAGTGAGTGGTCTATTGCAGTATAAGAGAGTTTGCTTTTCCATTGGGAGTCAGTTGGACTGGGTACTGGGGAAAGACTAATGGAAGGTAGTTCCTCTTGCTCTTTGGTGGGGACGGAAGAAAGAAGCAACTGCATTTTTGAAGGTAAACTTTATCATTAATGCCTTGTTTGGAGTGTTCTCTACCTGGCCAACTTTTGGTTTCTTTCTACCTATGTATCCCAAGAAATCTGGTGGAGATTCTGCAGTTATCTTCTTATTTCTTAAGCATCACCTCTCTTACGATTCCAGATGTCCAGATCACTGTCTTCTTTGAAAGTAACTTATGAGGTAACCCGGGTCCTGCTGGGATAATGGGGTGTTCTCTAACCTGAAAGATACTTGTACCCAAGGATTAAAATTTCATAATGTATTGGGGTGTATCGGTGACCCTCCAATAGACCCCTACTGTGAGTGTTTCGGCATCTGACTTGTTTCAGGGGTAGACGGGCCTTATAACAACCCCTTGAACAGGTTTGAGAAAAAAAAAACTAAAAAAAAAGTGAAAGCAGCCAAAGATACTACAGGGTATGAAAATACTGCTAAAGCTGAGGTTATGGCCTTGCTGATTGGTTCAAGAATTTCCAAGAGATTGCATCATCCTTTTAGTTTTTGGAAATTCAGTGGATGCTATCAAATGGGATTTTATAAGTAGGCTCTGGTCCATGGGGATATTAGCACACTTTCTTAATGATATTGAAGATAATTTGAATTCCTTTCTTTCTTTAGTTAGGTATATTTCCAGGGGACAATCTGATTATTCATGTGGGAAGGTATTTGGAAGTTTTTTTTAACAGTAGCTCTTGCCTTCCTAATTTTTTGATTGATAACAGAGCTTCATTGGCATAGTGACATTGTGTACATCATTTCATGTACATTGTCTGCCTCTTTTACTATAGAAATGTTTTTTTTTTAGAAGAAAGAAAAGCATGATGGATCGTAGGGCCTTAAACAAGAGTTATATTCTCAATGTGGATGAGTAGATTAAGTCTCCTAAAGCAATGGAGCCATGATACTGCAATGTGATCTCTGCTCACTATCTTTGACATGACCCAACCTCCCAAGGTACTTTTATCAGTTCATTCAGAGATTCTTGACCTCTGAAACTTTTCTTGCTGATAATCTACTTAGAAGTAGTTGTCACTTGTCAGGAGAAATTCATTTTATTGTCGTAGCTTGGTTCATGTTTGAGTGTGGTCAGCCTGGTATATCTTCTTGTAAACTTGTACTTTGATGTTAATCTGTAAAATCTATTTTTTTATCCTGTTACTAATAGAAGAAAAATCTCTCCCTTACTATTTCTGAAGACACCACCAAATTGACTTACAATAATGCGTGTAGGAAAAAAGAATATTGATGCAATAGTTATCTTTCATGAATACTGAAAAAATTGCACTGAGTCTTTAAATTTATTATAATTTTTGTTGTCTTTCAGGATGCATTACTCAAGAAACTTCTAAAGGATGACTACTTATCAGAAAAGGAAAGGTTAGTGTGAAGTTTTAACCTCTCACAATACAAGCTGTCCCAGTTACTTGATTTTTTTTTTGTTGCATGTTTATTAAGGTGAATAATTTATAGTTGATGCTTTATTTGGTGAAGAATCAGTAATGGTTTTCAGTTTTTTGAACCATGGTTTCAGAATATTCAGTAATATGGTAAGAGAAGGCTAACAACCTTAATTACAAATCAACTCAACTAAGGCTTGTCACAACTATATGGGGTTTGCTACATGAATCCTGTTCTGCCATTCTGCTCTGTTCAGTGCCATGTCCATTGTTAAATTATAAGCCTTTAAACCATTTGTCATTTCATCAATCCATGTCATTTTTTGGTTTTCTCTTAGCTCTTCTAGACTCTTCAACTTGTAATAGATCGCATCTAACAACCTGGGTAGCCCGATATGTTGACTGGGGTTAAATGGAAGAGTTTCTGTTATTCTTCCTTGGATAAGATTGTTTGCAATTGCTGTTTATTGGGATAACTGGATAAGGTATTGAATCCTTTTCTTTTAATTTTTCATGCCCAAGAAAAAACCAAACTTTCAGCAAAATAGGATCTTGCTTTTATATACCATTATTTTGAGATATTGTTACAGGATTTTGACTTTGATTCAATTTTGGTGAACTGCTTTTAATTTTTTTGGGGGGTAGTCTAAGCTTTAGGTGGGGAAGCTCCTACTTTCTGTTCTCACTTTGAGTCTTGTTTTCCTCTCTTTCATCCCTTGAGTTTTATTTTCTTTATCAGTAACAGTTAACTATACTGATAATGAAAAAAAGAATTCTGTACCAGTATATCTGTGCCTTAGTACCCCTTTATATGAGCTAGCAAGAGTCACCCACCCATTGCATATTTACTTTTTCGTCGATTACAAGTTTCCCATCTGGGATATTAGATCCCAGAACATTTTATTCCCTTGCTCCCTGCTATTGGCTAAACATGAAACCCACCTATAAGTTATTCTCAATATCATTGCTATACTCTTAATATCCCTGATATCGTGTCTATAGTGCCAAGACCCTTCCCTCTCATTTAGGATCCATCCTGGCACCACCTATTAACATTTTCCACAAAAAAAGAAATCAAGGTCAGATTAACTTCTGCACTATTTCAAGAATTCAAAGAAAAAGAGGTTGCCAATCACTGCAAATCTTATGTTGAGGGTAATGCTCTTCATAGATTAAGTTGAAGCTTACATGTGCAGATTAAGGGAGAAAAGGACAATTACAATTTCAGAAGTGCAATTGAAAAGGAAGATATTCTGGCTTTTTCATCAGTAGCTGAAAGTTGTGACATGCACAAGGTTGGATTTTTCTGTTCAAAACTTTTCCAAAACTAGGGTTCAAAAACTGAAGAATTGGATAAGAGAATAGCAAAATTGCATGGGAGAAAAGTATCTTTTCTCCTCAAGATCAATTTTAGGATTTGAAGCAGATCAAATTGGATCCAAAACCATGAGAAAGATTGCAACTTTACCTACTAGAAGAGTCCTCACAAGTGCAAAAATAGTTGTGATGTTCATGCCCAAGAATCCGATCTCCTCTCTCTAGCAATTCAATCAGGTTGAAGATGGTGCAACCTTTGATATTGAATCACACGATCCCTTGAGAACAAAACCATGCTTGGCTGCCCAAACCATGTCTGTTGATGGAAGATTTATACAGTAGATGATCCTCAAAAATTGCCTTCTTGAAGGTAATTCAAAGGAGGAAGAAAGGAGAACACAATTGCAAGTTTGATCCTAGGTGAAAGCTAGTGTTTTTTGACTGAATTGTGTTGTCGAGAGTGCCCTAAACATGTAACCTGTGTTTCTAGCCCTTAATAGGTATTTAAAGACTTCTATTAAGTCTCTAAAAAACCTTGGAAAAGTCCTAATGCAAATGGTTATTGGCTGGATTAAGATAGACCACTAATTCAGTCCTAGTTTGACTAGTCAAGACTAGTCATGTTTCTGGTCAAACTAGAAACATGCCAATTGGATTGGACCATTATTGGGCCCCCTTACTCACTTAAAGTGAATTGGGCCCAGTAGGCCAAATTTACTCTAATTAAAGAATAAAGAGTGAATCACCTAATAGGTTATGAACATTTCAGCCCATTCGTATCTAATACTTGCTTCTTGGGCCTCAGCCATCCATGAGTCCAAGTCTTAATGGTCCAATTCAATTATATGTCAATCAGGGTTTTGGGCCTAATAAGACATTTGCTACATGATCTCTCAGCCATTAATACCTAACACTGGGATTCAGGGAAGGACTTATTCCCTCAACATATAGCCCAATGTCACACCCTCTCATTAGCCCACTGTTGATAGTTTTAACTACCACTAAAGAGAGTATGTTCACAGATATTCTCTTTGTCTGACAAAGTGGTTGATCCTATCACAATGATCACTTACCCAGATACCCCTCATAACTACTCCAACATACACAGATGTTCACCATAAAAGGATCTCACTGATTGCTATATCAAAAGCAACTTAGCTGAATATCCGGTTGAGTATCATTATCATGTCAAGGATCACAAGCAGCTATTCCACCTATCCAAAAGTCCAAGAATAACCTAGAACTTGGTATAATTCAATGTTTTAGGTAAACACCCATTCCCACACTTTGGGTCGCAACCCTAGCAAATGAGATATTCTACTCCATCACTTAGGCAGTGTGTGAATGTCAACCTTGTAAGGATTAGACTACCCAAGTCGGCACTGGTTGAGAACATTTAGACTATATACCGAATATGGTGTCTCAAAGGTAATCCTAAAACGTAGTGTAAGGGTTAAATTAGCAAAAACATATCACATGACACATGAAATAATTGTACTTTTATTCATAATAACAGTCAATTACAAACACAATTGGACCTGAGGGCATACACTTTAGGGGTGTCCATGAAAAACCGAAAGACCAAAAAACTGAACCAAACCGAGAAAACCGAACTAGAAAATGGCGGTTAACCGAACCAATCGATATATATATATATATTTATATGTATATTTTATATATACTTTTAATATATGTCACATATTTTCTATCTATTATAATAAATATACATGAAATTATATATATGAAATTATAAATATACATATATTATATTTATAATAATCTATTTATAAATATATTATATATTATATATTTTTATAATATTTATCATATATTATATATCATTTATTATTTATAATATAATATTATACATATATTTATATAATATATATTATAAATATAAAAAACCAAAGAATCGAAGAATCGAACCGGTCAAAAACCAAAACCAGCAGACCGGTTAACTGGTGGTATCAGTTCGGTTTTGGTTTGGAGAAATGGAAAAACCGGTGATACTGGTTCGGTTTGCAAAAATTGCCCATGGTTCGGTTAACCAAACCGTGGGCACCCCTACATACACTATTCAATAGTAGCAACCTTGAACCTCTTATGTGAGGTATGCATTTCAAATATACTCTTTAGACTTCTAAGTTGGTCAGTAAACAGTTTTTTTTTTTTTTTCAAGCTAGCATACCAATCATTCACTAAATGACCTTTCAATAAAGCTGAGAATGTTAGCAATTAAAAACGCCACTAAATGATCTTCTCTTTTTTATCATCTTTTAATGATTTGGTCTAGAAGTAGAAATGGGGAGGTGTTTACATTATTATTAGGAAACAGCCTTCTCAGAATGAGTGATTTAAAATCTTAACCTTCTTTCTTTTCCCCTTGTAAAAGCTGCTAATCAAAGTGCTCATGGGAAAGTTCTGTTTGGAGTTGTTTATTTCTTATTGAACTATTGCTGGTTATTTATACTGTCTCTTTGGTAATCCAACGGGCTCAACCTGAGACCTTAAAGATTCAGTCCTCATGCAAACCTCTTTAACAAATATTAAAGACTGAAAATTTGTGCATCTTCTCATTAAAACAGGACTAATAGTGGTTAATTCATTAGCTTCTTGATCAATTTAGATGTTTTTTAGATGGATCTTTTTTCAAAGGGCTGAGCTTGATCTATTTACACCATTAGGAAGTTAGTTAACATCTGTATCTTGGTTTCAATAATGTGTTTATATCTTTGAATTAGTTTCTATTCATCTCTTGGACTTGACTGCTTGCAACCTCATTGGCATTTTCTCTCTTGTATTCATTTCTTTATTCTCTTAATCTTCCTCACAATTTCCAATAAATTTGGGTGTAGGGATGTTCTTCGGTGGGGAAAAAACATTGGTTCAGGAAAAACACGGACTACAAAGAGAGCTGGTGTATCTGTGTATAATAGAGCTTCATCATTGGAAACACTAGTAATTCCCTTATGCTTGTGCATGTATTAAGAAAATGATAATTGACATATCAAAAGCCCATTGATTTTTCCTTCTTCCATAGAGGCTTTCCAATTATTTTGGTGTTATCAATAAGTCTTGAATGGAAGATAGGATAAAGTTAGTTTATTTTATAGTTTATCAGATTCTGTTGAGTGCATCATTATATGGTTGTTGTCAGTCATGCTTGTGTTTAATATGTCCCAATTAAAGGCATCGTTATTAGTAAGTTTGTTTTTTTCTAAGTTTCCTGTTTGTGAGAGAAAAAGGCAAAAGTAGAAATTCTTTAGTGAGTATATTGCAGCTGTTGAGCAGTTGAATGTCATCCAAATAGTTGCATTCAGCACATCTATCTGGGTTGGAGTAGGTTTTGATGTGTGATCATATGTAGGTGTCTCATGTCTAGCTAGCTACAAATGCTAGGGCATCAGGATCAAATTGCAGTGTAGTGCCCTCTTACCGAGAGATACCATTTTAGGTGCTAGCTAATTTAGAGTTTGTTTTACAGTGTAGTTTTTTTTTTCTTTTTTTTTTTTTTCAAACTAGGCTTATTTACATGGCTCCTCCATATGATACAATATAACATGCCTACATATGATTGAATGCCTGAGTGTTTGAATATAAGGAGTTTTCATATACAGTGTTGTAAACTTATAACTGGAGTCTGAAGTTGGAGTAGATGTTGATGCAGGAGGGGGACTGCAATTGTGGGAGCACAAATTTCCAAAAGCTCCAAAGGTAGTGGTGAGCTTTGGGCCTCAGGCAGTCAGGCCTGATTAGCCCGAGGCCTGGATCTCCCGGACCGAGTTTTGTTTGGGCTGGCCTGAGACAAAGCCTAATCCTGGACCTACCTATTTACTTAGATATCTATAATATTATATAGGAGTTGCTTGATTCAATGGTAAAATCCCAGGCTGACAAACATGAGAATGCAGGTTCAAGTCTGAGAGTGGCCAGTTCAAAAAAATGCCAAAGGTTTGGTTGTATCCAGTCCACCCCTCCTAAGACCCTGATAGCAGGACCAACATTGGGTAATGTCCCTTATCTGTGTAATGTATTAGATATGTAGTCCATACTCTAATATGCATATATGTATGTTATGTTTATGTACATGGGGAGCAGGTTTATTGGATTGCTTATAGCTTCCCAAACAACCCAGAAATCTTCCGTGTGGAAACAGGAAACTTTGTTCTGGGCTCAAATAGAGTCCCCATATTCCTCTCCCCAGTTTATATTCATGGAAGAATTTTCATCTCAAATTCTTCTATGGGGAACTTCTATATTAAAAAATCAAAAGTTTGAACAGCTATAATCTATTGGGAAAACACAAATGCAATGTTGGTTATAGGGCTTATGTGAACTGTGGCATTGAACACATGTTCAATCTAGTGAGCCTTCTAATTGTTAGACCATTCTACCAGATTAGGGAGGGTAGATTTTTTATATATAAAATGAACCCCTTCTGTTCCCAGAATAGCTAATCCGGTTGTTGATAGTCATGTAAGAGAGAGAACATTGGAGTCCTATCTGTACTGGGGGTTTTCACCTGAGCTGAGTGCTATTTTTTATATATTTTGTATGAAGGACCAAATTGAGGGCCTTGGATGTCCCTGAATTCATGATTGTTCTGTAGTGTCTTGTGGCTTTATTCTTACCCTTTGATACTTCAATAATATACTAGTTGGGTCTTCTGTGCACAAAGGCACATGGAGGCCCCTTGTTATCCAATTTCATGAATATTTGTTTATTACATCAAATTAATCTACTAATGGGATAAAAGAAAAGGGTGTAGTACCAAATAAGAAGAGATGGATAAGAAAATATTAACAGAATTCAATGTCCTGTTTATTGCAAAGTCATTGTACAAACTTTTATCAGAATAGTAAGTTATAGTACTATTAAATAGAACAAACATGAAATTTAATGTGGAGTCCACTTCTTAATAAAGTTTATGTTTACTTGTAACTCTTATGTTTAATTCTTAATAAAATTTATTTTATTCATCAAAAAAATGTGGAGTTTACCAAATGGAGAAAAAAAACTGTATTACAAAATTAGAAGGTTAATCAAGTATGAACTTATGGTATTATATGATATAGGCAACACTGTCTTCAAGAAACAGGACATTACTGGTAGTCTCGTCATGTTTTTTTAGAAGATTAGATACTTATGCCTAAATAGTGAAAGAGGAAATGATGCAAGTTATCTGAAAAAGTTTTCTCATAAGAAGATTTTTTTTTAGGTTGGCTACCTTTACCTGACTAATGTGAAACGCTTGGAAGAAGTCATGCAAAAGTTGGGATTCTCAACAGGTGATTCTGCCCAATTAATCCTGAAAGAAACACAGTAAGCTGAAATGAGAAATTTGTGGAGCCCATTTCAAACCTGCTTCTTTGTATCAAGTTCTCTGTATATCCAGCAGCACAACTCTCAACTGAGCTTCATTTATACATGTTACTGGAATTATCTATCTATATGCTTTTATAACCATGAAATTTTCTGTTTGCTTAGGCTTTATTCCCATTAATCTTCTTAGGCTTTATAACCATGCAACTGGTTCTTTTTTTTCCTACATTAATCCCATGCTTCTATCTATCAAATATAATTCCAAGTCATGTGCTTTGCCTTGATTGAAAGTTCCAGCTTCCCAATTATGGCATCCAATTTACAGAATTTTCTTGTTATTTTCTCTCACCTTGGTCTATCCATCCACTTTTAGCTTTAGGAATGATGGTTAGAATTATTAAGCATCAAAGACATGGACGATTGAATTCTCGGGCATTTTAACCAACTATATGTTGTACAAAAGGCATCTAAGTGGCTTCCCTAGAGATGCACTCAAAAATTACTCACATGTGATCATCATCATTCAAGTCAAGACTTATGGGATTTGCTGAAACTTTGTGAAAAATTGATTAATATAGCATGTTAGCTAAAGCCATGTCTCAATGTGAGGACTTATGGACTTCTTCATGCTTAAAAGCCTTGTAATTGTCCCTAAAGTAGTTTTTGTAGTTATTTAATTTTCTCAATGGAGATATTGTAGGTGAAAAATTGAAAATGGAAGTTCATGGTTAATGGCTCAGGAAATAACATAAAAGTGCCACTTAGGGACCGCTTAAGATTGCTGAAACTTTGTGATTGATGGTGGTTAGATTTACTAATTATTTTCTTTTTAGTAGGCCAGGTGGATTATCAGGTGAAGGTCTGTCAACTTGGTTTTGTCGTGTCAGACTGTCAGCATGCCTGAATTTTGATGTATTATGAAACTGCTATTGCCAAAATTACTAAAGATAACTCCTTTAAAAACAAAATAAGTAAATCCTTGTAACCTAACATGAATTATTTGCAAGCTTAAAAGTTTTATCAATCAGTGTTTTAAAACCCGTTAACCACTTTTCTCTCCGGGTCAATAGGTCAATAGTTCAAACATCCAAGTCAACATGCTAACTAGTGATGCCATCATTACAATAAAAATCAAAATAGAAAAAAACTGGTGACCTTCTGAATAGGTCAGATGGGTCAACAGTTCAACCATTTAGGTCAATAAGTCATTGACCAAGTCTTTTTTTTTTCAATATGATGGGTTAGAAGTTGCCCTGAACTGGGACTGTGACTGGATTGCCAAATCACTATCCAATTAATGGGTAATTGACAGGTGTAACTGGTTTAAGTGGCAAATAATGTTTTGTGTCAAGGGTGAACCAGTGTATTAAAAATAAATCAAAAAATGAAACCACTTCTGTCCAAGTGAAACCACTTCCTTGGCGCAGCAGTTGAATTGCTCCATTGTAACTTGGGTGATCAGGGTTCAAAAACAGCCTCTCTCTCTCTCTCTCTTACCAGTTTTTTACAAGTGGTCTGAGGGTGAAATGGACTCAGAAATCTTGCCAGGTGATAGACTGACCAGTTAGTTTGACCGTGGGTTGGAAACATTGTGGTAGTCTTGAGCACTGTTTTCAAAACCGAATCGGACCGGATGGTCGGACTGGAAAAACTGGGGTCACCTGACTGGTTCTGTTTTCCTCCAAAACCATTGATTTTGGTCAGCAAACTGCTGAACTGGCCGGTTAACCGTTTGAACCGTTTAAACGGTTTTGATCATTTTCCAATTTTTTAATTTTTGTCAGAATGAGCCAGCCATTTGGGTCAAATGGTCGGACCGTGGACTCCTGACCAGATTGGTCACCGGTTCAACCATGGTCTTGAGCAAGAATGATTTTTAGATAGGGTGATGAATCGGAGAAAATGACCTCTACTTTCTTGAGTCGAATGACCCTTTTTTAAAAGAGCAAATTGACAGTGTTTTCTGACATATTCTCTTGCCAAAATTGTTGGTGGTTATCTCCATTTCCAGCATTTGTGGTTAACTGGTTATTGTCTTTGTCTGAATTAGTAGGAACAAGGTCGTCATCTACGTTGAAATGGTCCATCACAACCCTATTGATGCTACTATTATGACCATATTTACATCCCTTTTGCTCCTCAACCTAGCCTGTAGACATCAAATGCCTGCAGTAACTGAGGTCCAACCTACACCTCACTTAACAAAACTTTTGCAACCTCGAAAAAAGAAAAGATTTCATGTTCTAATTAGAAATTTCATCAATAGTAACCGAGACTAGTCATTGTAGTCAGTTCTGCTGTGTGTTACAGATGACGGAATTTGCCGAAGTAGAGGTGGCTAAGGTGGTTTGAAAAGGTGAACAAAGTGGGGCTGGTTTTTTCATCAAGGAGTGCCCAGAATGGCTGCACTCCCTGGTGAGACAATACTTGGAAAGCCCCCTGTTGTAATGTTCTTTTTGTGCTAGTGATTACTTGTTTTTCTTCTACCAAAAAAAAAAAAAAAGAAGAGTGAAAAGAGCACAAAATCAAAGTTTTTTTTTTTTTTCATACAAAATCTCAATGTATTACACATAACAGGAGACTAATGGGGATGGAGCAGGGTGCGTGTGGTCCACTGACCCCTGCAGTTGTAGATTTGATCCTCCACCTCCGTATTCGGATGGATGCCAGTGAGCATCTCAACTACCAGGTATTCGACACTATGTTCAGAAGTCAGGGTGTATATTTTGATAGAAAAATCTCCGATTCTATCCTCCACTTCGGGTTCATATTCTTTTGCTTTATTTAGTTGACATTGTGATGTGAAGCCATAGAATTAGAATCTACGTAAAACCATATCCCAGTCCACACTGGCATGAGACCCCAATTCCCTTTTTAATCCAATAGTAAACAGTTAAGAGTCTTCAAGAGCATGCCTTTTAGACTAGAGAAGGAAGATGGCTTCATTAAAATAAATCTTGATGCATCTTGTTTGAATGGTAAATGTACGATTTGGTGTCTTGCAAGGGATCATATGTGAAATATCCTCGATCTAGAGCCTACAGCATTGTCTCAACCACCATAAGTTTAGCTGAAGCCTGGGCTGCTTGGGAAGCCCATAATTTAGTTAGAAATTTCAACAACAATCACATTTTCATTGAAGGAGATTCCAAGCTTGTCATCAACTGCCTTGACAACAAAACCAAGCCACCGTGGAGATTGAAGACAATCGTTGAAGAATGCAGGACTCATTCATGTTTTGATGGAGATTTGGAGTACCAACATGAATTTAGAGAAGCTAACAAAGCTGCAGATTGGTTAGCAAATCAGGCTCATGTTTCTCCAGTTTCCTTTGAATCTTTGCCTAGAGCTTTATTGATTTTAAGTTGTTTGGATTACTGGGGACGTGCTACCCGCCTACCCCATGCTGTGTGGCCCCTTTTTGTTCTTTCCCGTTCTATGAAAAAAAGAAGATGATGGCTCCTATATGCAGTAACTATATAACATCTGAACATCTATCTCTGGCCGTGCTTTCTGAAATTCTTTGCTGGCCCATCAACATTTTTTTTTGGGTAATAGGTAATCCTTTCTTTTTAGCTGGTAAAAGTTTCAATCCCATGGACTGATGTAAGTATTCAGTCTAGGTGTGGCCTTCATGTCCTTGTAAATCAGTGTTACAAGCAACCGACAATCAAATTCTTGGTTACAGTATCAACTGATAAAAGAAATATTCATTTTTCTCATTCAGTCAGAGGTTAAACATGTCCAATAGAAGAAGCATTCCTAACACCATGGACGCATATCAAGTTACTGTCTGCTTCATTAATTTGTTTATATGGATTTATATACGGATGATATCCTTGCAATTTGGATTGAACTAAGGGGACAACTAGGTTAAACAAGTTTTGGGATCGTATCTATGGGAACCGGATGACACTGGGCCAATCATGATATGCCACGTTTGCTTGTTAGTGGGCCTCAAATGTACTGTGCTGTAGTGTGACTGGCCCAGTCATGAGAAGATCCAAAAGCAGAGCCATGTTGAAAATGACAACATGTACAGACCCATCCCACAATAAAGGATTAGGAACGTCCCCTGCCTGACTAGGATGATAAACCCCCTCTTTCTTTCTTACGATGATCTAACGTGTAATGGATGCATGTTTAATGAAAGCAATTGGATGTTATCATGTTTGGATGTGAGAATAGGGAACACTATGACCCCACCAAATTCTATGGGTTGGCATTTTGGGATGGCAATTTCTACCCTACCCGATGGGTATCCATCTCAATGGGCCATTTTTTTTTCAGGATAGTTTTTGGGGTGGGGAAGGCTTTTGGGATTCTACAACCCATACAGGTATGAATAGGGTAAGGTATTAGGCTAAACTCCACCCTCTCTGACCCGCATATTATTAAAAAGCATATAAACTTTATGTATTAAGTGTTGAATTTGATAATATTTTGAATTTTACGTAAAGGATAATTGACAATTTATGTATTTTTTTTTACATATTGTAATCAATAAATGGAAATGTTGTTGTTTGTTCATGTTATTTTACTAATTTATTATATATATATATATATAACAAGAAATAATAGAAAATTAGATGCAAGTTTTTAACCCAATCTTCTCACCCTTAAATGTGGGGAGGGGAGGGTTGGAAAGGGTTTTGCGTTTTCATGTATGGGGAGGGCTTAGATTCTCAAAATTCAACCCGCTACACGTTTTGGGGCAGGTATAGATTGGGATGTTTTGGGAGGTGGATAGGATCTAGAATTTATAAAACCTTCTCCAAACCCACAAAAGGTGCCTCACATACACATCTCAGTGTGCATTGGGAACATCTCTCGTATTTGTCATTGGGAGATATTTCCAATACACGGTTGAGATATTCTGTGGGGCGCTAATGTGAACTCCCTTGTTTCCATCCCTAGTGGCATCTGCTTCCTCAGTTTTAAATTATTAAATTGATATTAAAAAATTAATTGGGGGTTTAATTAAATCAATGTAAACAAGAAAAATAAATAGAAATTTAGCTTTGTGGTTGGTAGGCTTCTAATGGTCTCTGAAATCTGGTATTTTAGTCCAACTGATTATGGTTTTGGAATGACTATTATTTTATTCATAACACGTGATTTTGTTGTGTGAGGCACATAAAGGAATCACGAAAACATGGGATTGGACCCAGTTGCATACTGGTCCAAATCCAACAAAGCTAAGTTGTCAATCCTGTCAAAGATAAGATTGGGAATCAATAATCTTCGGGGGTTGGACCAATTGCTTAATTGGTTGAAATTTTAT